CGACGTCGGGGCCATGCTACGTTATCACCATCGCGCTCAACATCTCCGTTATCTAAAATTATCCACTTGATTGTATAGACATAATCTTCTTCTAAACTGATGTAAAAATTCATTTTCTTAAAGTATATTTGTAGACGAGTTATACATGTTTGAAAATACAACATTTTCGCAACAGATTTCTGGATTGTGCGTTTCTTTTTTGGAATAGTATACTTGGGACATTTGATACATGGTCTTGTAAATAGGTGAACTTAGAGGGAGATCGGAATGAGTTTTTTTACATCAAGTGATTACACACGTACAATATACTTACATTTGCAAATTGATATATTTGACATTCAACAAATTCAGATGCATTATCGTGTGGTGAAATCAAAATGTGGATCTCGGCGTAGTTTTATGTTTCTTTAATAAACAGTCGTGGGTGTTTGTAAAATATAGTTTTTCAAGACAGGCATCATAGATTTACTAATTGTATTCTTGTTTAGCGGTTTAATTAAAAAACAAGAGGGCACATCGTGTGAATCTTCTCAAACATAACTGATAAGAAAATGTCGACGAAACGCCTCGTCCGTGTTATGCAAGTTATGAAGTTTACAACAGGAAATAGTTTAATTCACCAAGCAACTATGCATGCATAGAAGTATCTGGAACTTATTCAGGCATGTTAAATTTGTTCTCTAGAACTGTTGATTAAAACCATCCATTGGTTGGCACAATAACAGTTAAATACCGGACATCTGTTACCATGGTAACGAAAACAACACATTTGTGTTGAAATGGATCTGTTCATTTCTTCATGCAACTCTGGTATCACTGAACAAACGAATTGAAAGAGAAATGTTTTTCCTCTTGTTCCATCTGTATTGTGTACGCGTATATTCTGTGCAGGCCACATCTCCATCTGTACAGGTCACACGTCTGTACAGGTACACGTTGTCCTTATCCGTCTGTACATGTACACGTTGTCCTTATCCGCCTGTACAGGTCTCACGTCCTGTCCTTATCTGTATGTACTGGTCACACGTCCTGTCCTTATCTGTATGTACTGGTCACACGTCCTGTCCTTATCTGTATGTACTGGTCACACGTCCTGTCCTTATCGGCCTGTCCAGGTCTCACGTCCTGTCCTTATCGGCCTGTACAGGTCACACGTCCTGTCTTATCGGCCTGTACAGGTCACAAGTCATATCCTTATCCGCCTGAACAGGTCTCACGTCCTGTCCTTATCGCCCTGTACAGGTCACACGTCCTGTCCTTATCTGTATGTACCGGTCACACATGCTGTCCTTATCTGTATGTACCGGTCACACGTCCTATCCTTATCCGTATGTACCGGTCACACATCATATCGTTATCTGTATGTACTGGTCACACGTCCTGTCCTTATCTGTACGCACCAGTCACACGTCCTGTCCATATCTGTATGTACTGGTCACACGTCCTGTCCTTACCTGTATGTACCGGTCACACGTCCTGTCCTTATCTGTATATACCGGTCACACGTCTTGTCCTTATCTGTATGTACTGGTCACACGTCCTGTCCTTATCTGTATGTACCGGTCACACGTCCTGTCTTTATCTGTATGTACCGGTCACACATCCTGTCCTTATCTGTATGTACCGGTCACACGTCCTGTCTTTATCTGTATGTACCGGTCAAACGCCCTGTTCTGATCTGTATGTACTGGTCACATGTCCTGTCCTTATCCGTATGTACATGTCTCACGTCCTGTCCTTATCTGGATGTACAGGTAACACGTCCTGTCCTTATCTGTATGTACCGGTCACACTTCCTATCCTTATCCACCTGTACATGTCACACGTCCTGTCCTTATCTGTATGTTCCGGTCACACGTCCTGTCTTTATCTGTATGTACCGGTCACACGTCCTGTCTGTATGTACGCTCTAACCACTACACCACGGAGTTGGTCCAGACACACACAGGGAAGAAAGGCAGCCAGGCATTTTTTTCTTCTGGGTCTTGCCCTACTTTTATTCTTTTTCACTTTATTTTAGTTTTAGACCCGTGAAGGTTCGGGGTAGAATATTGGCCTACAGTAACCCATGCTTGTCGTAAGAGGCGACTAACGGGATCGGGTGGTCAGGCTCGCTGACTTGGTTGACACATGTCATCGGTTCCCAATTGCGCAGATCGATGCTCATGCTGTTGATCACTGGATTGTCTGGTCCAGACTCGATTATTTACAGACCATCGCCATATAGTTAGAATATTGCTGAGTGCGGCGTAAAACTAAACTCGTTCACTCCCTCACTACTTCAGTTTTAGACATCGGGCGATGAACTCCATCTTGACTTGTGCTAATTGATCTGGACATATTGCAGATGAAAACATTCATATGTACACAGTTTATATCTGTATGTGAAAGCCAGTATCTTGAACTGCAGCAACACACGCGAGCTAAAACGTGATCCTAATTCGTTCTGCACAGTCAGCAGATGTGAGGCCAGGCCTCGAGAGACTTATGGAAACGGATCAAATGTACATCTGTGAGTGTTTGTGTGTGTGCGTGCGTGCGTGTGCGTGTTTTTGTTAGTGCGTGCGTGTCTGCGTGGGTGCACATGTGTTTTTTAGGTTACCTTACACAGTTAATATTGCTTGGGGTTTGATGTGTAAAATCGAGAGACAACATAACATTCTGTTGTCTTCCCACCAAACCACTGTCAGCAGTTTTGTGTTCGCTCGGGATATCCATGCTTTCTGTCAGGATTTTTATGTAGAAAGGGCGATACACACGATAATGTAATAATCTCTACATCGTCCACACTTTGTCGTTTGTATGTAAAGGGCCAGATGGTAAACACTCTACAGAGGTAGTATGACGTCAACAATGACGTCAGAAACGATTGCATTTCGTTATGCCAACAATGTTACGTGTTCATTTCCACCAAGAATTTGGTAAACAATCGCATAGTCAGTCAGAAGCAGGAAAGAAAACCACCAGTTGAAACAGTGGATATGACGTCGGCATTACATGGAAGCATGCACCCGTTGAAAAGTTACTCATTAATTTTGTAATTAATTTCAAATGATGACACGTATGGTGTTTATAAAACGGGCTTCTAAATTACTCAAAGCATGTATGACAAGACGTTCGGAGCAGGGATCGCCGAAGGGCGTTTTTCATGCTTTAGAGATTGTAATGTGGTGCCTTTCTAAATCCAATGTTTCTCTTGTAGTATGACGTCATTATAGCAGTAGTGGACATCTCCATGCGTTCGGTTCCAAAACAATTTAGCGTGATCAAATCTGAAATAATACATTTCTTCTTTCTGTTTCACTTTTTTTGATGAGTGTGTTTTGCAGTGATGGTTATTATGCTACCCACTTCATATGATATTGCGTCTGCCAAGCAGTTAGGAGCAGCATTGTGTTACAGATGCATTTATGCGTATACGTGGTCTGGCTTCTTGCATTCAACTACTTCTTGTTATTTCCACATTATCACGTGATACTAGTCACGAGTGAGGAATGGGGTACCTGAGATATTTGGTATATGCAGATTGATTAATAATTACCTGAGTGAGTGAGTTTAGATTTACGCCGCTTTTACCAATATTCCAGCAATATCACGGAGGGGGAAACCAGAAATGGGCTAATAATTACCTGAGATATTTGTTTAAGATTAACCCGTATACAACAAAAATCTCAGGTGCTCCGATATAATATACTTTTTTTCTATCTAACCTTTATGACTTTTTCTTTCTCTGAAATAAGGTTTTGCTATATCTGCGACAAAATGATTACTGGTAATTTCTAAAAAGACTTTTCAACGAATATTTAAGATATTTCAGTTTGGATCGGTCAAACCGGTCGTATATGTCACCGGATACCAGACAGGAGAGTGCACTTTTTCAAAATACTGGAAATATATTCATACATGTATATACGCCTAATTCATATGGGAACATATATGCAATTGATCCACATTTATAGCCCTGCACTTTAGGCACATGTCTCAGGGATCAGTACCAACATATATTGAGATTAGCCGTTTGATCATAAAACGGACGCAGCTCAAGTGAAGCCATCAACCTGTCTCCACCTGAATAGTTGGTTGGTTGTTGTTTAAGGCCACACCCAGCAATTTTCCAGCTATATGGCTGGACCATACAAAGCAGTGATCAACAGCATGAGCATTGATCTACGCAATTAGGATACGATGACATGGGTCAACCAAGTCAGCGAACCTGACCACCCGATCCCGTTAGTCGCCTCTTACGACAAGCATGGGCTACTGAAGATCAATTTCAACCCGAATCTTTACGGGTTGCACCACAATAGTTTCGAGTTGATTTCACCACCGTGCCATATTTGTTCGCCTTTCGGCGGGGTACATAACATTAATGCACGTCGGAATTAGAGTGCACAGAGTGTGATATCACGATTGATTTCAGATCCTCATGAATGAGAGTAGCCTTCAAGGTAACACCATTTCCTCTTTACTGTTATAAAATATTTTTAGATTTAACATCTACAAATACCTAATGAAACTTTATATCATTTAATTGCCAAAACAATATACTATCCTTAAAACAAAATCAAATTAAATATTGCAAATTTTTTCCACTGGAATTTCCTGCCACAAAACTCATGTATTGTCTGAAGCGGCCGCTAAATCCCAAGAATGAGTGCATACCAGGTGAACCTGGCTGGCTTGTCGATCAAAGCTTACACAGCAAGTTATTTCAATGAAAGAACTGTACACCTACTCTCTACCGGGCTACATATCTAGTGACATTTACTGTTCAGTGTGTTCGCGAGCTTTAATTACATTAGCAGTGTAAATGCGTGCATGTTTACAGCTGGGTGCATATTCTCATAGTATGTCTCATAAATCCCCAAGTTTTTACTAAAGGGCAGTATTCCGTCTCAAACAGTTATTTATTTCCTACATTAAAAAAACTCATTTTTGTTTCACTTTGACAAGTGTTCTAGCTGATATTTATTGTATTGGTTTTTCTTCTCTCATTGCAGACTTCGCGAACCGTTCCCAGAGCTCCTGCTCATAGAGATTGCCTTGTGGTCGTAGGTGGCGCTCCAAGACTCAAGTCAGAGCCAGTGTGTGATGAAATCTCTGTGCTGGATGACGTTACAGGGTCTTGGGAATTCGTTGCTAGGCTACCAGAGCCGCGCCATCATCACGCAGGTGTGTATATCCGACACTGAAACGAATGCATTTAAACAGTCAAACAGTTTCAGAGTTAGCCGGAATGTTCAAAATTATAATATTCGTTTTAAATATTTATTTGTAAGCCTGCAAACGGATGCGAATCCAAACCCCCTCCTTGTCGCGAAAACATATTCTATATATTCCGATTCTACAATTAATAAACACTAAGTAATCAATATGTAATTAATTCCTAATAAACAACAATTTCCAAATTATTCTCAATAGAGTTGAATACCAGTAGTACATGCATAAAACAGGCATAGGAACAATACACTACAACGTGAAGACTTTCCAGCGCATATAATTAGCGTCTCCAATGTTTTTCCAAGATATAATACTTGTGTACAGTACAGATTGATTACGGGGGCTAATCGCTTCTGTGCTCTAACTATAGCTATTTCAACTTCAAATCGTGATGCCAAATCCCATTATGATCTTTTTTTAGGCTAAAGTTTTTAATGGCGACTTGTTTATTACGGCTATCTGATATGACACTTGGTAAGGAGAGTATTAAGTGCTTGGAGATACATGGGATGTAGGCTGTCATTAGTGTGCTGGTATTGTTCTAGGTTTATCAAGTTGTGGAGGTGGGGGATCGAAGGTGTACTGTTTTGAACTCGATGCCATTTGTAGAAGGTGGGAGGTTTTACATGGACTTGCTTACCTTTGAGGGCTTGTCTCATGCCTGTGTTTGTATTGCTTTAGTGACATAACGCAGGTGTCTGCCATGTGTCCATGTTAGCCCCACAGCCTAGCAGGTGTGTTCAAACTGTATCTCTATCGCTTGGTTCACCTAGAGTATGCGTTCACCCTGTGTCTCCAGTGGCTCGATGGACGAGGACATGGAGCCAAACGGTATCTATAGTGCCATGGTTGTCAACGGATCGCGGGTGGTCGAGGATGTGCGTCACCTCTGTTTGATAGTCCATCAATGGTGTCTATAGTGCCTTGATAGTCTAGCAAGCATATCCTTTCTGTGTCTGTAGTACCTTGGTAGTCTAGCACACATTACTATCCTGTGTCCGTAGTGCCTTGATGGTCCAGCACACGTACTCGTACCAATCCTGTGTTAATATTGCCTTGATTGTCTAGCGCACATATCTATCCTGTCTCCGTAGTGCTTTGATAGTCAAACGCACGTGTCCTTCCTGTGACCGAAATGCCTTGAATTTCCAGAACACGTGCCCATCCAGTGTCCGTAGAGCCTTGATTGTCCAGCACACGTGCCCATCCTGTGTCCGAAATGTCTTGATGGTCTTGCACGCGTGTCCATCCTGTGTCCGTAATGCCTTGATTGTCCAGCACACGTATCCCTCCTGTGTCCATAGTTCCTTGAATGTCTAGCACACGTGCCCTGTGTCTATAGTGTCTGGATGATCCAGATACTCAAGCATATGGATCAGTCCTGTGGTTATATTGGGGGCGGTGGGGTAGCCTATTGGTTAAAGCGTTGACTCGTCACGCCGAAGACCCGGGTTCGAATCCCCACATGGGTACAATGTGTGAAGCCCATTTCTGGTGTTCCCCCGCCGTGATGTAGCTGGAATATTGCTAAAAGCGGCGTTAAACCAAACTCAGTCAGTCAGTGGTTATATTGCTTGAATGTGTTCCTCTAGTGTCCGTTTTACCTAGATGATCCAACACATGTTATTATTCTGTTTCTATAGTACACGGGTCCATAGTGCTTATATTGCCTTGGGTGGTTGAGGATGTGTCCATTCTGCGTTTATATTGCCTTGAAATGCGAGGATGTGTGTCGATCCTGTTACTTTGGTCAACAGTCTAGCCCTCATCCTATGTTGGCAGTGCTTGGGTGACCTCGCATGTGTGCTGAGCCTCTGTCTATAGTGTCTGGGTGGCCAAGCAAACGGTCCGTTCCGTGTCTGTTGTGCACCAATGGTCTACATGTACATGTGTGTCCATCCTTTGTTGTTACGGCTTTGGTGGTCGAGGATGTGTTTTAATCCTGTATCTTGAGTGCATCAATGGTTTAGCACAGTTTTTTGTCCTCCGTTGATCGTGCTGTGATAGCCTTGGATACGTGTCCATTCTGTTTGTATTGTGCCAAGACTTTTAGCACAAGGAAGTGTCCATCAAGTATCTGTAGTATCTAGATGGACTTGAACATGTGAATGTGGTATGTCTCTATTGCAAGCGCATGTGTCCATCCTGTGTACATAAATTCTCGATGGACTTGCATATTTGGCCGTCATGTGTTTACATTGCCTGGTGTCCAAGATGGACGCCTATAGTAAACCAACGTATGGTATACGCGTCCCTCTGTCGATAGTTCTTGGATGACCTAGAATGTTGGCTCATTCGTTGTCGATAGTGCCTGGATGCTCTCCTATATGTGCCTATAGTGCCTAGATGGCGTAGCACATGGGTTTATCTTGTGTCAATGTTGCCTGGATGGTCCATGATGTGTATCAATCCTTTGTCAAAAGTTCATCATACGTATCTATTCTCTGTCGATCATGCTTGGAGGTCCTGATATATGTGTCCATCATTTATTTAAAGGCCCTGGATGGGCTAACACCTGTTTCAATATTCCAAGTACGATCTATCACATGTGTCCATCTTGTGTTTCTAGTGCTAGGATGGTCTTACACATGTGTCCATCTTGTGTTTCTAGTGCTAGGATGGTCTTACACATGTGCCCATCTTGTGTTTCTAGTGCTAGGATGGTCTTACACATGTGTCCATCTTGTGTTTCTAGTGCTAGGATGGTCTTACACATGTGCCCATCTTGTGTTTCTAGTGCTAGGATGGTCTTACACATGTGCCCATCTTGTGTTTCTAGTGCTAGGATGGTCTTACACATGTGTCCATCTTGTGTTTCTAGTGCTAGGATGGTCTTACACGTGTGCCCATCTTGTGTTTCTAGTGCTATGATGGTCTTACACATGTGTCCATCTTGTGTTTCTAGTGCTAGGATGGTCTTACACATGCGTCCATCTTATGTTTCTAGTGCTAGGATGGTCTTACACATGTGTCCATCTTGTGTTTCTAGTGCTAGGATGGTCTTACACATGTGTCCATCTTGTGTTTCTAGTGCTAGGATGGTCTTACACATGTGTCCATCTTGTGTTTCTAGTGCTAGGATGGTCTTACACATGTGTCCATCTTGTGTTTCTAGTGCTAGGATGGTCTTACACATGTGTCCATCTTGTGTTTCTAGTGCTAGGATGGTCTTACACATGTGCCTATCTTGTGTTTCTAGTGCTAGGATGGTCTTACACATGTTTCCATCTTGTGTTTCTAGTGCTAGGATGGTCTTACACGTGTGCCCATCTTGTGTTTCTAGTGGTAGGATGGTCTTACACGTGTGCCCATCTTGTGTTTCTAGTGCTAGGATGGTCTTACACATGTTTCCATCTTGTGTTTCTAGTGCTAGGATGGTCTTACACGTGTGCCCATCTTGTGTTTCTAGTGGTAGGATGGTCTTACACATGTGTCCATCTTGTAATTCTAGTGCTAGGATGGTCTTACACATGTGTCAATCTTGTGTTTCTAGTGCTAGGATGGTCTTACACATGTGTCTATCTTGTGTTTCTAGTGCTAGGATGGTCTTACACATGTGCCCATCTTGTGTTTCTAGTGCTAGGATGGTCCTACACATGTGTCCATCTTGTGTTTCTAGTGCCAGGAGATGGTCCTACACATGTGTCCATCTTGTGTTTCTAGTGCTAGGATGGTCTTACACATGTGCCCATCTTGTGTTTCTAGTGCTAGGATGGTCCTACACATGTGTCCATCTTGTGTTTCTAGTGCCAGGAGATGGTCTTACACATGTGTCCATCTTGTGTTTCTAGTGCTAGGAGATGGTCTTATACATGTGTCCATCTTGTGTTTCTAGTGCTAGGATGGTCTTACACATGTGCCCATCTTGTGTTTCTAGTGCTAGGATGGTCTTACACATGTGCCCATCTTGTGTTTCTAGTGCTAGGATGGTCCTACACATGTGTCCATCTTGTGTTTCTAGTGCTAGGATGGTCTTACACATGTGTCCATCTTGTGTTTCTAGTGCCAGGAGATGGTCTTATACATCTGTCCATCTTGTGTTTCTAGTGCTAGGATGGTCTTACACATGTGCCCATCTTGTGTTTCTAGTGCTAGGGTGGTCTTACACATGTGCCCATCTTGTGTTTCTAGTGCTAGGATGGTCTTACACATGTGCCCATCTTGTGTTTCTAGTGCTAGGGTGGTCTTACACATTTGTGCTTTATGTGTTTACAATGCCACTGTTATCTAGGATGTTTGTTTATAGTGAATCCATGGTCGAGCTCATCATTATGCCTAGATGCGCAAGCAATTGGGTCCCTCCTGTGCTGCATTGGTGGTGTTGTATATGTGTCCTTCCCTTTTTCAGTAGTCTCCAGCTTGTCTAGCGCATGTCCCCAATCTGTGTTTATACTGACCAGGTGGTGGAGGGTGTGTGTCAATCGTGTGTCTTCAGTGGTCCAGCACATGTATCTATCCCCCGTTGATCGTGCTTGGATGACATAGCATATGTGCCCATCCTGTGTGTAGAGTACCTGGGTTGGCCAGCATGTGTGTCCATCCGGTGTCTAGAGTGCCAGAGTTGTCGAGCATGGGTGTCCATCCTGTGTGTAGAGTGCCTGGATTGGCTAGCATGTGTGTCCATCCTGTGTGTAGAGTGCCTGGATTGGCTAGCATGTGTGTCCACCCTGTGTGAAGAGTGCTTGTGTTGGCTAGCATGTGTGGCCATCCTGTGTGTAGAGTGCCACGTGTATCATCCTGTGTGTAGAGTGCTTGGGTTGGCCAGCACGTGTGTCCATCCTGTACATATGGTGCTAGGATGGTCTTGCACATTCATTCATGGGTTACGTTGGCTGGCTAGTATGGGATGTGCGTCAATAGCTAATCAACGGTCTAGCTAACGATAGTGTATGGATGCCCAAGCAAGTAGGTAAACTCCTGTGACTATAGTGAATAGATGGTCCAGCAAATGT